CCACCACAGACAGAAGCTGATTCTTGGGTATTCGACCCAGGAATGCTAGAGTCGTTTCCCCGCGCGTAGCATGCTCAGGGTGCAAAATCGAAAGTAGTTCTTGCCGTGCAAAAACAGAGGATCGTTGCTGTTCGGGAGAGGTGATGGTTTGGCACGGTTATCCTGATAGGGGATTTCAGCGAAATCCAAGGTCTTCACTCTGCATTGGTGTGCTGTTTAATTTGTGAAGTTTCCTGGCGTCAGGTATTTACCCTGGATACTAAAAAGTAGATAGACTATTGTTTAAATCATCGCCACAGCTTGTGGTACAATAGCCGAAATACAGAGGGAGATTACTGCAATTACCATTATCGGTGTATGACATAATGAGTGAAGGGAACCTATTCTTTTTCAACGGACGGTGTAACAACTGGTCATACGCAATCCAGCAGGGTCATGTTCGACTGGTTTTTGTGGGGGTGCGAGCTTTTGCAAGCACATCATAGTTGACACCCTACCACAAACTAACATGGAGCCCCATTGTACACAGTCAGCAGTCTACTAAGGCAGCTTCCTGTTGCAAAGCCTTGGCTGGTTTCAAAATAGAATCCTTAGCCATGTAGCCATGTAGCAACAAAGCAAGAACATCCTCTAGTAGGGTAATTAGTTCGTTCTGAAAAATTGGGGGGGGGTGCGGCTTAAGGTTCACAAGAGCAAGCTCTGTTAGCACGTGGAAAGTACGTGCACCCGTGCTCTGTGCGGATCGATTGTATGCAGCGTGCAAGACTGGACGGAGAGACAAAAGAACCTAGGTAGGCAAAACCCAGATTACAGGCAAGTAACATCCTACAGCCCCTTAGAACTGGTATTATGGAAACACTTAACTTCTATTCTGGCAAGCCTTTGTTTCGTAAGATGCCTACCTAGGTTGTAAGTGTGGGTGGTGTTAGGGTAAGGCCTCGCATATCCAGCATAGGATGACAGCTACCGTAGCTGATCTGAGGATATGGGGGTTTCCCAAAATTGGGGACACCTTTCTGGGAGTCCTTCTAGTAAGCATTGCAGTCTTTGGGGGTCTGTATTGGGATCCCCGTATTTGGGGAAACTACCATATATCTCTTACTTGACAGCCTGGGTTCAAAGGAAGCTTTAGCCTGTTTTAGCATGAAACATAACACTGGTCTTCCCAGCCGAAGAAAAGGGCCACTTTGGGGGGAGTGTAAGCTCTTCAGGGGTCTTGTAGAACCATTCAACCTCTGTGGCCCCTGCCAGACCCAAAACCCTGAACTCAAGAATCCTGAGCTCTCAACCCAAGACTCGAAACCCCTAAACTTAACCGAATCCCATGACGTGCTTCGAGCATGTGAGCTCGGAAGATCCCAAACTTGACATGCAGCTTGATCCCTTCTTACTGCTGAGGTTCTCCAAGCAATGGCCTCATAAAACTTGCATAGCATGGTCAGCACGGTCGCTATACAGAAGTCCTTAAGATAGTCGGGGTCTCCATATACAGAGTGCCTGCTTTTTGGGAACAGTAGTCTAGACAAAGGTGATAAAGACCTTCAGCTTCAAGATTCTGTACGTGCAACGGTTTCGAACGAAATGATTTAACTGGGGCTCATTTACTCGCAGTGCTCCTAAAGTGCTTTCGGGACACAGAGATCCTGGTGATGCATATTCCGAAGCATGCAATCTGCTCAAGATATGCAAGGCATCCCTCTTTTTCTGCCCCTCGTCATTGAAGCATGTGGTGGCTTCTGTCTGTGTTTGCCGCGGTGGCTGCAGCCCATGCCGACCACAGCTCAGTGACAGGATGCTCATAAATACGCAGATGGGGGAAACAAGGATGAACAATGGAAGGGGATTACAGAAGGATGCAGATTGGGTATATCAGGCCAACATAAGGTTCTGCCCTTCTGTCATTTGCCTTGGTGGTAGCAGCTTTGAGATAGATTCTTGGCTGTTTCACTTCTCATTTTGAGTATGGCAGGACGTGTTCCGAGCGATTGGAAGGCTTCTCTTGAACAGCGAACTTTCCTGCAACCCCCTCTGACAACAGTGGCCAAACCAACGCAAACCTGAAAGCCTCATCGAGCGCCTACACAGATGCAGTCTCTTGGTTCAAGTTGATGTTCTTAATCCGCAACTCAATCTCAAGCCAGCGTTGGAGCCCGAATTACCGAAGCCCATGAGCTACGGACCCTCAAAAGCGCACCTGATAAGAAGCCCGTGGGGTGCAGGGTTTCAGGCATATGGGATGTTTGGGCTAGGGCTCCACTCTAGGTAGCATACATAAGCACTGCCTCCCATTCCACGTAGAGGAGGTGATGCGCTTTTGGGCTGGTGGGTTTTTAACGCCCGTTTGGTGAATACTGGGACTTGTTGAAACAGTGATGAGTGGAGAGAGATGTGTTGGGAGGCCATACTGATTAATCCTCATCACTTGTCAAGACCACTGTCGGTTCAAACGGGGGCTGTGTCGAGCTCAACGTTTCGCAGGGAAAGCAGAGCCCTCAGGCAGCCCTTATTACATCCTTAACCCTTACAACTTGAAAGCTTTAACGCCACTACCTTCAGCTACATCCTCAGGCACCAACCCAGACCCCCTAAAGGATCCAAAAAATGGAACCCCCCCCAATATGAACCCTTTACTACATTGGGGAAACAAGGGAATTATTAGGGGGCTCCATTTTTTGGATCCTTTAGGGGGTCTGGGAATCCCTAGCAGGACAGCATGGCATGGTCTCCACTTCGCATCCTGAAGCCAGCGCTGCTGCAGCCAGCATCCTCGAGAGGGGCGGCAGCCGGGACTTTACAAAAGAACAAGAAAAGGTTTCAGGGTTCAGGGTTTAGGGTGGAGAGTTTTATGCAAAATGCCATGGAAACTGGGGCGATATGAAAGTTTATGTTGGGGAAGAAGTGGACTTTGGTAACCCCACCTCTACAGCGAGGACCTTATATGAGTCATGTGATAGTTCTGTGTGGTTCCTAGTTTGGGGGCTACTCTACTGCAAGCAGAGGTGTAGACTCTCCCAAACAAACATGGAAAATGAGATGGTCCCGTTTCAAAGGAAAGTTTGGGCTTCCATGGTATTTCGGGGAGCCTATAGGGCTAGGGGTTTAAGAATACAAGGGGTTTCACTACAACATTGGAGTATTGAAATACTATGAATCTGTACCTTTTGAGATTAGCTGGGTTTGGTGTCTTCCTATGGTGGATGGCAGAAATCTTGCACCACGTACGACCCCAAAATACTGCAACTTCTCAAGTCAAGAGTTACAGGAGGCAGTGCAAGAACTCCGCATCCACAGTGCTGAGGGAAGTGGCCTTTGCACCAGAAAGAGCACCCTTCTCAGACCGACCCATATGCGAACATTTCAACATGTTGATAGGATGGTCTGCAGTAGAGAGTAAGGGTGTACTCTTGTTGAGGTTGTAGTTCGCAAGAAGATCGGGCTTCATGAAAATCATCTCCATATGCTCCCCAAGGGTCCCGTCTTTTGATAAGCACTCTTGTACCATCCTGCATGGCTCGACCACCCAAAAAACCTAAACCCTGAAGCCCTAAAGCCTAAACCCCCAAACCTTAAAAACACTGCTCACTTCTGGGTCTGTGGATTTGAAGCGAAGCTTCGAGCTTGGGACCCAGGCTTTGAAGCTTCCCTTTCCCAAAAGAAACCGTAAAAGGTGTCCCATGAAAGCCATTGTCCTTCAAAAGCCTGGCTCTATGGGGTTCCATGCTAGAACCCCAAAAAAGCCCTAAGCCCTCTTCCTTCAACCTTAGCCGTATGCCTTTTCATTCTGAGCAGAGCTCTTGGGTGTTGAATCAGAGCACTTTGGGCTTGGGATGCTTTGGGGCTCAGGGATGACTGGTGCTTCCTTACTGGTAGTATGAACCAATTGTGGAGAAATCAAATGGAAAAAGCGAAACCAGAGGTACATTTACAGGGGGCTGCAGGGATTATCTTACAATCTGACAATAGAGTGGCCGGAACAAAATTTCCATTATCCCTTGTGCCACTGGGAATGGGTGAGGTCCTAGCCAAAGCTCTGAGATTCAAACTTTGGAAGCAGTGGGCTCCAAGCAGTTACAACCTGCACAGTGAATCCAAACCCCACTCTTTACGGAGGAAATCCTGCACCACCCCGCGATTCATGCATGCTACATTCAGTAGATTGAGGGCCCAAGGTAGTCCAAGATCTCCACAATCAACAGCTTCAGAACATTCAGGGGCGTAAACTGCGAGTCAGGCAATGCCATAGATGCTGCTCTTGCAGTACACTTCATGCTGGCTGCTTGACGTGAAGTGGTTCATCTTTCTTCTTGCTTAGCCTGGGCTTTGAAGAAGCTTAAATGATAGCCTATATTTGTCCCTTTTTCCCAAAGCCTTAAATTTGGCGCCCACATGAACTAGGGCCAGGGGATTGGGCCGTGCGGTTGCGTTTTTGTCACTTGAACTTGACGCTTTTTCGCTGGGCTGAAATGTGCTGTTTGCATGGGCTTGTGGGCCTGAATCTTCACAAACCCCCTGAGCTCTGGAGCTCCAGACTCAGTGTGTCACACCAATTGTGGTAGTTCCGAATGCAAGGGGGTCCCCCCTTTTGCCGCAAATGCTGCATCCTGGTTATAGTAGAATATTCAGCCCGTGATTTTCTGAACCAACTTTTGCAAGAAGGGATGTGAGGCCTAAAGCCTAAACCCGACATGTTTTCAAGGCCTACTGCCCACTTAAGCATTCATGCCACCCGTGTGCTCTCCTTCTGATGAAGAGAGTTCAGAGATCTAGGCACGTGCCCAATGATCTTGATACTCCGGTAATATTGTTCCTAGACTCCTAAGCCCTAGCTGGATCTTACAGAACCTTCCATGTTCAGCTTATATCCTCGGTTCTGTTTATGGTGTGCAACTACAAAGATCTAGCTTCTGACAGTTCCAGGCGAGCTTTGCAACCGAAACCCTAAGCCTGGAAGTGAGGCAGTCGTTGAGCCGCAGCATGTGTCCATCAGCGGTGGGGGCGTGATGCTCTACAAGCCTTTCGACGGGGAGGTGGTCTGGACCTAGGGGTTTTACGTACAGCTTGGAAGCTTTAGATTCTTCATTGCTGGGTATAACCTTGTAAGCCATGCTACATGGAGCTGCGGCCCATTCCCCACAAAAAGGTTAACACTAAGTCAAATAGCACATCTATCCTGAAAACCCTCCCTCCGCAAAATAGCCATCTTTTTGAGCACCACACCCAAATCTTTTATCCACACCCCTTTCAGGTGGTCCACGTGGATTTTCGTGAGGAGGCTCCAACCTTGTACCACCCCAAGACGTTCTGCAAGAATGCCACCTGCATCAAGGTCGCGGGGCCCTGAAGCTGGAAAAAGCCTTATGATACACTAGCATCATAATTTTGAGGTTTTGGGTATTTTGCCTACACAGACTAGTGCCGTCTTAAAAGCTATGGGGTTTCGGGTAGCGTAGAGTCAAGGGCTTCCCACGCAGAGTTTCAGTGCAGAGTCATGAGCTGGACTTGCTTTACGAACTGATGTGCCAGGAGGGCCCAAGAGTATGCCTAGGCCTTCATATTACTGATGCCCTGGAACTACAAGTAAGTCCTGGCGTTTAGAGGCCCTGCTTTGAATGTCCCCATTCAGGCAAGGTTGCCGCTTGAACACCACCCTTCCGGTCCCCATATGTGTACTCCTTTTAAATGAGGATAGTATATGGACTGCCTTAAAGTGCCATAAGAATGCTCGAGGTTTTTCGGTGGACTGAGATGAGCTTATAGTATATGGCTGTTCATATTCTGTCCCCTTTTTCATAGACACCTCCGCGATGGTTTATGTTCATGGCTTAGATTTTCTTTACTTTGGAAATCGCACAAGTCCTTAAACTGAAGCCCTACACCCTGAACTTACAGCCTAAATCCTAAACCTTAAACCCTAAGCCCCAGGACGTCTATGTGTAAATCTATCTGCTTATACAAACATGTAGCTCCCACCCCCTGATCATCAACATTCCCGATCTTGCCAGATAACGTATTCAGGGAGTAGTTGTGACGGGGGGGATGTCGGACCAGAAAATTTTATACATCAAATCACGAGTAGAGCCATGAAGGATCCAGACTGTGACTGCAATGGAACCTGGCCAAGCACGGAACGCTGCACCGGTGGACATGCTGCTGAGTTTTTCAATCGGAAAACTTCAGGGTTTAGGGTTTCGGCTTTTGAGGTTCCTCAGTTCCCTGGAAGGTTACTGTCCCTTCCTCCGCACGTAAACGTATACCATATACAAAGCAAGAACATAATATACTGGAACCTGCTATTCTTAGCCAGGCGCAGACTTTTGAACATGTTTTTGAAAGGTCAAAGGTGCGGGGCCTTTGGGATTTTGGCCTTGGTGTTGGGGGTGAGGGTTCCTCCCCGATGCAATCCTTCCGCGTTCCCATGTAATCCTGGGGTAATACCTATAGCTCCCTAAAGTCCTCAAGGCATCCATGGCCTTTGTGTTCGAGTTGACAGGGCTTTTGTCGTAGAATTGCATTTAAGTCAGTCATCATGCTATAGACATACAGCAATAATGTGGTTTCCTTATGGCAGCAATTGAATGTGAGCTTCTGCTGCGACAGCCCATTTGAGGCGACTGGTACCCCTGGCTTCCCAGCGCTGTTGATGCTTGCCATCCGCGACCAGCTAGCTTCGCTGCCTCTCTCAGACCTTGCGCAGCCTGCGATAGAGATAGCAAGAGATGGCTGCTCGGGCAAATACATGGGTTATCAAGGGACCATACTAGGCAATGCAACAGAAAATGGAAACTGAGCTTTACGTGCTTGAGCAAATCTAGGGTCCATAGCGGTCGGGATTCCTAGGAGCCAGGTTAGCCATGTTATAGGTAGCTCTTTGAGCAATTCTAGATCAATGTTTAAGATCCTTCATGTTTTCCCGCTTGGCCTTATAGCTTAAACGTATTGAATCCTAAACCCTATAAGCAATAATCCCGAACTCCTAGACTCTCTCAACCCTAAACCCTGAACAATATGGTCTGTTCTCATGTCCCTTTCCTTTCCCCACCAGGTTGGGTTATGGACGAAGGCCTCTACAAGAGCAACTTGGAGTGAAGAGATGTTTCCCCTCCTTACATTACCATTCCTGTTCTCATATTTCTAGCATTACTACAGTTACCATTACTATGATCAGGATCATTAGCATTAACTGTTGTTTCAGAAGTTCCTGAGACTTGGTAGGTAGTTTATAAAGGGGGTTACAAGCACACCAGCTCCAATTAGGAGACAACGCTTTTAATCTGCTTAGAAGAAGTCCCCTGAGGTTGCAAGTACTCTTGATGGAGAAGACCGGGCACCTAGGAACGTTGCTGTACTGTAGTTTCTGAGATATTGGGGACTGAGGGTCGTGCCGGATTTCTTCCATCAATAGTATTAAGACCCCATGATTCCCAAGAACCTAGTAAGTCACGGTGATGCCGTTGGCCTTGTTCGAAAGTACACACATAGTGAGGATCCAGACATGAAGGCGTAGCAGCATGTGAGCTTAACAGTTCTGCAAGGCGCTTTCCTGCATTGGATTTAGATTTCGACCAGAGTGAGGGTTTAGGTTTACAGGTATTTCCTGCAGTGCTCCACACCCCTAAATTCAAGTTCGGCCTCTTGAACGCACAAAAAGGCATTCCATCTCGTTCATATCTGCGCAGGGCCTCCAAGGCGTTTCAGATTTCGAGAGACCAACCTGCAATGTCGGCCACAGTTGTATCAAAGCCCGATATCCTAAACCCAAGCCCTATGAACCCTGAGTTCCTCGAAGACGGTTGCAGGCATCCAGCAGTACGCACCGCAATTAGCAAGAGACACGGCGTCCCGACAGCTGTTTCTGGATGCCAGCGGTACCAGGCCTATAGCTCAGGCACAGCTCATTTCCCAACTCCACAATAATTATTCCAGACATAAAGCTGGTAATAAAGAGAACAATAATTCTACGCTATTAAGAGTAAGGGGAAGCAATAGCGATTTGTAGGGAACCTGGGGAGTGGGAAAGGAATTGGAAGCTGATCTCCCTAAAGGCGCTTCTAGAGAGGAATAGTAACTAACAGAAAAGCCAATTGAAACTAGTATGGGTTCTGGGTTCAGTGAATGAAGGAATAGAAATAACATGAGTGTCACCTTGTATTTTTAGTTCAGGGTTTACTTTCCAGTGTTTGGAGGAGAAGGGCGGCTTATAGGCATTAATATTGGAGAATGTAAGGTATTTTGCAAAGCACCACGGAGTAATCAGGGTTACATGTCCTGAAAATGTTTGACAACACGCAATTCTGGCCACCGTGAGAGGGGACGCCTCTGAAAAGTTCTTAGAACCATAAACCTGAATTCCGGAGCGGAAATCCTAAACTCGCTCGATCTTACAGCCTGAACAGTAAAAGCCCGAACTCCTCAACCTTGAGGCCCCAAGCTAAAGCCCTAAACCATAACCCGGAACCCTAAAAGCTGAACCTGAGTCCCAATGCCCGCACTCCAAACCATAAACCTTGACGAATCTTGACCTTATGCGAGCCTCTCAACAGGTCGGCGAGGTCCTGCGGAACCCCGATCTCGCTAACACGCTGGAGCTGCTTGCAATAAAAGGCTTAGTCAAGCCCATAGTTCAGCACAATGGCCTAGGATCGTATGGGGAGCAGCCCTAGCATCCCACCTACCTGCATGGCAGGTTCTTGATTTCTGGCTTACCAAAGCTCACGCTAGGCAGCTTACCATGACTATAAGCTCAACAATGCCAATTACACTTGGAAACCCTTGCATGTCCTTGAAAGATGTACCCTCACGTGAACCTGCAGCCCAAATACCCATCAAGACCCAAGAGTGCGTCTTCTCGGGGGAAGTAAACCTTGCAGCTTAAACCTCAGTAGATAGGTGCAAGGAACTAACAGTCCCTTGCTAGTCCTCGGACTCGTAAAATCACGTTACCAATATGAAGTCCTTCAGCGTAACACCATCAAATACCCGGAAGCCCGGTTGCCTATTCCGTGGTCCTCATAAAAGATTTTATCACCGAGCCCGTAAGCTGATGAATTTACGAATGGGTGGTCGATTTGAGGAAACATAAGCAACCCTACCTGAGGTGATTTGCTCCGCCACCCTAGCAATGTATGGGAACGAAAGGGAGAGTATGGAGGACTCGTTCAGAGACAATATAGGGATGATATTGAAATTTCCAAAACTGGAGGTCGCTTTAACAACCTCATGGTCTTATGGTGTCCCAAAAAATAGCCCGTGTTTCTTTAAGGCCGTATGATTCTGCAGTATTGCAGACCCTGAAAAAGGGAAGGGCACATAGGGTCCACGTAGGCTCATAACAGCCAAAGATAAACTTCTGGGCTCAAACTAAGTCCTATCTGTGGACCCAAAGCCCTGAGGGTGAGGCCTGCAGAAGCGCTCAGGATCACTAAAGATCTGTATCTACCCTGGTTTTCTGGTTGCTGAATGTGGTTTTGTTTTTAGGACCCCTAAACGTGAGTCGCCCTGTTAAAGCAGTTTTCGCACCAGAAGAGGCCACAATTCCAGAACCTGAAGATCAATTCTGTGAGGTTACTGGTGGCTGATCCTGCTGCCTTCTACACAGGGACCTTGGGTGCAGAGTTTGTGGAGGCAGCCAGAGCGGGCGTGAACGAAGTGACAGGGAAGTATGGCTTGCTGTCCATGGAGGATCTGTATGGCTACAGGGCGGTGTATCGTGAGCCAGTGCAGCATCTCAGGCATTTCTTAGATCAACAGTGGGCAAGATGTTACTTTCTGTCAGGAAACTATGGTCTATGCTAGCGGAGCCTACACAAAACTACTCCAACTAAGACGTCCTACATGACTGAGAGCTATGTAGGGACCCGAATTCTGACGCAACACGGTTCTGGAGTCTTTCGCGCAACGTACAAGGGCACCGCAGCCTACGACTTCAGACCAGAAAAATTACAGCTTATACCCTTAAATGGATGAGCGTTCAACATCCTTGTTTGTGTTGAGGCCATGCACCTAGTTACAAGGAGGGTCCGTTCTCGCCAATCATCACAGATTCTGACCTGACACCTTCAAACCTGAATAAGAAACCCTGGGCTCTAAATCCTGAAACCCAAGCCCTAGGAATTCCAACCCGCTCCGAAAAAATCTGCAAGGTCACCCCAAGCCCTCATCCTATAAGGTACGAGTACACCACTGCTTCTGGCCTTACATACCTCGTTGCCGGTTCGGCCCCGCCCTTTAGTGGCGGAGTGGCCCAGGACTTCTGGCTACTTGAGGGCTTAGAGTTTTGCAATGTAGGATTTGGAGGTCAGAGGTTCAGGGTTTTGGGGTTGGGGGTTCGGGGCTAAGGGTGTAGGGATGGATGCTATACTACCCAAGCCCTAACAAACGAACAATCAAGCAAAAGAGTATAGCATTGGCTTGTTTGCTCCTTCCTTTCAGATCTCGTCTTGCTTGTGACGCAGGAACAAGTACTTACAGCATGTTTCATGTTTTCTGCAAAGTGGTGCAAGACGGCCGCCCAATAAGCGACATTTAGATCCTGCGGGTCCCAATAGTAGAGATCTATTGTGCTGGTGGCTTGCCGTCTGATGCTCCAGAAGTCCTGCGTTCACAGGCTTGATCATGGCAAGAAGAAGAAGAGCAAAAACTTCGAAAATCGGAACGCTAAGGCCCAGATCTTCAACATCCTTGAGCAACTACAGGGGGCGGAGGCCTCAAACAGCACCCGAAGTCTTGGCTTCTTCTTGGATGCACAGAACGCTGCATTCGCGGACCGCAACCAGTGTCGCAGTTGTTTTTGGCAGCCGTTTTGTCAGCGTGCGTTTCGAGAGATCCAGGTTGGGTTCTCATTGCCGAAGGGTGTTGATGAGTTTGTTTAACACGAGGGTTCAAAGTGTTTGGCGTCTGTTGAAAACTTATGAGTGATTTCTTTTTTGGATGGTTTTGCTTGCACCTCACTACTTGGCTCGCGCAGGTATGTTGCAGACCCAGATTTCATCGATGTGGACGTCAAGACCCTGACGTCCAAAAGCTACGCAGTTGACCGTGTCTGGGATTGTTGCAGACTTTGCATATGAGTGTTCGGGGTTGTGCAACTACTGTAGAGTAGTTGCCGCGTTTTTGACTTACAACAAACCTTTGTAGCTTGGATTTCAAGTGCTAATTTGAAAGCCCCTGAACCCAGGAACCGTGAAGTCTAAGCCAAGACCCTCACCCTCACCCTGAAGCCCCTAAACCTTCTAGCTCAAGCGCTTGAACCCTAATCCCAACCCTGAAGCCCCTACAACCCCCAAGGACCCCAGCCCTTACCCTCAAGAGAGTCCGCAAAGTTGACAGTTGAAGTTTGATTGTTTGGAGTCTTGGGGCAGGATTTACGGTTTGTGTTCTGGTTTTAGGGATTGGGATCTGCTATGATTTCGGACTAAGCGTATTCGGGCTTAAGTGCTCTTCAGGGTGCGGTGGTCATGTGTTGTTCAACGATGTTCGGAGGTCATGTGCAGAAATTTCACTTAGCACCAACAGCCGGGGCCCAAAGGTATGTAAGCATTTTCGAAATTGAGGGTCCCACTTGTATCCAAGAATGCCATCGTTCCCCATTTGTGGGGCTCCCAAGAGGGGGTGCGTTTTTGAAGGCCCAATATCTTGAAAGGTGGGCCTGCTCCATCTTAATTTACTTGCGGAATACGAATACCTTCAAAGACATCAGGATGCCTAAAACCCTAGGCTTCGTACTTGGTTTTCTCGCCCAAGCTCCTCAGTTCTGTAACAGACCTCTTCAAGTGCCTGAAACATGAGCCAGAACTGCGCCCTGAACCCTCTGCTTCATCCCCATCTCTTCCTTGGGAAACCGCCGGATTGGGGCCCATAAGTAACCCCCTAGATAAAATCACCCTTGCTTCAGGCATTCCCGAAAAGTGCATGTTTGATAAACTCTCCGCCCTAGACCCTAAAATCAGAAACTTCGAATATATATATATATATACATACATATATATAGTATGATGATGACCCTTACCATCCCTACATGTATATATATATATACAGTTACAAGTACATCATATCCTGATGTCTCCCTACATATCCCCAGATACCTTCATATTGCACCCAAACCCAGGTGTTACGCATCTCTTTAAGCAAACCACCCGCCGGGCCAATGGTCGGGCGCTGCCTGTGCCCGTGGAACCAGGCGCTCTGAGCTCCAAGCACGGTGCCAGCTCCTGGGCAAATTCTTAGTATCTGGGTAGGTACACTTTACGCTTTTGTGGTTCGGACATTCCCAGTAGAATAGAAAGTGTACACTTTTTAAGGGCCAGGGAACTCAGCAACTGGGCCGAGGGAGCCTGCAATTTTGAAGACCCAAGTGAGATCTTACGACCTGTATTTGCTACAGCAATCGCAGTCTGAACCATAGCTTCCTAGTTCCTGCTGTTCGGGAAGGGTCGAGGAGGATCAATCGAGAAGGACCGTCCGCTGCTTAGTTGCGAATGTAACCGCCGAACCTTAGACCCTTACCCTCAAGCCCTAAACCCAGAACTACAACCCTAAACCCCTAAACCTTGAACCCTAAACCCAACAAAGACTAGGTTCCTCGCATGATCATGGCACCTCCCACATGACGATCATCGACGCCAAAGGCAATGCTGTGGCCATGACTACGACAGTGACGCTGGGCTTCTTTCAGAGTATTGAAGTATAGTTCATGGTTCAGGACTTCAGGGCGGAGGGTGCTTTGCAGCTGTAGTCCCCCTTAAGTAGACAAAATATGGCTTTCGGTATATTGTAAACAGATCCCCATATACCCCATATTCTATCTACTTAAGAGGGGCTATGCTCTAGGTATTATTTGCTCTCCGATTTTGGGGCTTTCATGTTATCTTGAGGTGCGTTCAGGGGCAATGCTACCAGATGAGCGGTTCTCAAAAGCAATGCATCTTTCAGCTTTGTTCTACATGAGCAGCCTAGTCTAGGTAGGCATATTGCGAAACGCGAGTGTTCTCAGTATTAGATACAGGAAAATCTGATAGAACAATATGTGGGTTTTCCCAACGTGGTGCGTACCTGTCAGAACGCAGAGTCCCTACTTGAACGCCAGATTGAAAGGACTTTGCTGTTGTCATGACCACAAAAAATTCATCTCAGCATGTTGACAACTGACAACTACCCAGCTGGAAATTACCTTAATGTTGGGTTTCCCACTGTCATGTTCAGCTATTTCCGGGCCTGGCTTGGCACCAAGCCAAGGGGATCTTATCTTGGTTGGCAGTGCTTGTGTATGAAGGCCTTGGGGCTTTAGGGTCATGTGTAGGGCGCATGGGACAGGATTATCAAATGTCTTTTGACCTGGAAGCGAGACATGCACTTTCATACCTCTTAGGTTTAAGTGCTGTGGAGTCAGCGAGGCCACGCAGCATGAAGCATCACCTTAAGTGTTCTACAGGCTTGGACTTAACTGGCTTCAGTATAGCAAAGATCACGCAGGGCTTCAGATATAAGCCCTTCATGTAATCCCTAAGACAGACTGCACTTTCTTTCAGAGACATTCCTAGTAGCTGAGAACCCGGGCACTCTGAATCGCGAAGGAACATACAAACCTTGACATACAGGACTGACCTTGAACCCAAAACCGAGGCGGGGATAAACGCGGCTAAGGAACATGATCATGGGATCGCGGGTCTTGGTTCCTGGGAGAGGATACCTATTGAGCCTTGGGCTTTTGAGTCCACTCGGTTGAAGGTTTGGGGTTTGGTCTTCATGGAACGTAGGATATAGAGTTCAGCACGGAAAGCTTTGGAGGACTTGGAGCTTAGAAAGTAGGATGTAGAGTTCCGCACGGAGAGATTTGTGGTGACTGCTTGGAGGTTGAAAACTTGCCATCATCGTGCACCACAGGCACAGGTCATAACTTGACATGTGTAGCCTGATGCGATGACAAGTGATCTTTGGCGGGCCGTTGAGGCTCATGAACCGCTTCAAGCTGCCTAGGCAGCGCCCTTGGCCTTACTCTCAAACTTGTACCATTGTGCATCGGATTCTGCACCTTTCAATGCTAACTTGAAAACAATCATGCACATGAAAGCCTCGAGGATCCGGAGAACCATCCCGGCAATCCCTGAAGCTTCATTCCGGTTAGGTTAGACAGCCAAATACCTTCCCGATCCTGGAAAAAGACAATCCTGAAACATTCTCAGAGAACAGGGCTCTACGAGTCTGGGGGCCATGAGGCCAACGTAATTGACATGTGAAGCTTCCTAATATGGGCCTCTGCTAAGGGTTGCTGTGATATTGAGTGTCCACATAAGTCTACGCCCACGTTAATGATCTCACGACTCAAAACTTCAAAGTATCCTCATTTTCTAGGTATGTTTTCGGCGGCCCCTCCGACCTTAAACCCGTAACACTTTGGAGGCTCGAAACTGTAAAGCCCAAAACTCTGAATGCCTAACTCTCAGACTCTTAACCCCAAAACCTACGCTAGAATCTGTAAATCCTAAACACCAAGCCCTTGAACAGCTTCCCTTGACCCTAGGAATAATGAACTCTGCGACTTTGATGCTCTTGGCTATGACTCCACAGGGAAGGCAACCTGCAGTCTCTCGTGGTTCTGGGTTTGGGGTTGAATGCACAGTGTTTGGGGTTCACGTTTAAAGTTGAGGACTTGGGCTTGAAGGCTTTGGGGTGAAGGTTTTGGCTTTGGGGCTATCTTTGGGGTTCAGGCTTGAGGGCTTGAGCT